GTTACCTGATTCCTATAAAAAGTGCATAATGAGAACTTCTTCTTCCGGCTCAGTCTGCCTCCGGCCTAACCTCATTTCTGACTTTGGTTTATGAAGGTTTATTTGGGAGGAAGGTCAGGATCCGGCTCTAGAACTTTAGCATCTCCAATGGGCCGCAACCATCAAACCTTTGCAACTTTTTAGAATATTCAAATCTGGGCCAGGGATTTAGCTCAGTAGTTCCGCTGCCTGCCTCGCAAGTGCAAGGTCCCAAGTTCAATCCCCAGTACCAAAAAAAAAAACCCAATGAATATTCAAATCTCATCCCATCAGCAGAAAGGAAAGCTTTCAAATTTCTTATAGATAGTCTTCATTTCTAGAACTCTGTTTCATGGAATACTACTCTGTCATGCCATTTTAATTCCTCTGTCTTTTAAAAATATCATTCCTTGGGCCGGGGATTTAGCTGCCTTGCAAGCGCAAGGTCCTGAGTTTGATGTCCAGTACCCCCAGAAAAAAATCATTCTTGGGATTGTAGGAGACAGGCATGCTGACTCATGTTATATTCCCAGGCTGAGTCAGGACTGGGAATTTGAGGTCAGTGGGCTATACATCGAGTTCAAGACTAGGCCACATACACACACACACACACACACACTCACACGAGTTCGTAGGGCTATTACAGTATAGCTCGAGGTAGAGCACTTAACCCACTTACCCAGCATGCCCCTAAGGCCCTGGGTTCAACCTCCTGCACTGCAAACAGAAAAAAAAAACAAAACCTGCACAGAATCCCTTAAAATTTCCTGGTGTGCATTTTAAAACCAATGCCTAGGCTGAATCCTTTAGCAAGTCTAAGGACAGAACACAATTTAGCAAGTAACTGCAGATTTTAAAAGTTGGGTTTGTTTTGGTTTTTTGTTTGTTTGTTTTAAGACAAAATCTCCCTCTGTAGTCCAAGCTGGCCAAAAAGTTGCCATCTTCCTGCCTCTTCCTCCCAGGTACTTACTGGTTCTTACAAGCATGGACCACCATGCATGTTGACGCATTTGATGAGAATACAATCAATATTTACCGTTCACCATGCACCCTGTGACACTGAAGGCCACTGCTTGAACTGTGTCGGAAGCTCTGAAATCTGAGTCATCTCATGCACCTCCTCTGCCAGTGATGCCTGCATGGTCCACCCCCTCCTTGATTTCCTCCCTCAGAACTCCCCGATTCCATTCATTTTCCTACATACCCATTGCCTCACCCTAGCAGCATGTGTGGCCTGTCCTACAGTGAAAGGAAAGGAAGGTGAAAGAAGGAAAACGAGGTTTCTAGGCTTCCACTTTTGGTTTCAGTGAAGGGGGAGACAAAGAAGTCATTTTAGAAAATCAGGAATATCATTTTTTTAAAACACCGAGTTGTTTGTGTATGGATTCAGCTTGACATGACGGCAACCATCTTGAATATTTGCTACCGTGATTGCCACTGAGTAACCTGGGCTGGTTTTCCCCTCCCAGCTTCCCAGGATACTATGAACAGACAAGACTCATAGGGTGGGGGATGGAGTGTTATCCCCAGTGCCTGGCTCCAGGAATCTGTCTGACTCTTTGATATTAGCTTGAGAGAACTATGGAAGACTCTGACTTGGATTCAGTGATTTTTGTCCTAACCACTTTATAAGTGGTTTTCTGACCCACACCACGGAGATGTACCTGTCTTGTTGCTGCCCAGAACCACATTTCAGTCAGTAAGTCCCCAACGGATTGCGCAGGATCTCTGTTTTTCTTCTTCAGCCTCACAGCACCTTGGTGCCACTTCTACACTAGGACCAGGTTATTCTGGAATGTTGTGCCTTCATAACAGCAGATGCATTGTGGAGAATTAAAAATAACTGTTTCAGGAAAGAGGCGTAACTAAAATGGAGATTTACAAGATGTCAATATAAAGATTGTAGCAGAATACAGAGATGTGGGTGAGAATTCCTAGTGAAAGTGTACATGATGAGTAGAGACAAAGCCACAGTTACACTCCACTAAATGCCACCATTTAAAGGCTAGGCAGAGAAAAAGAAACCCATTGAAATCACAAATAACAAATGTTTCTTCGAGACACCCTGTGGTCCTTCCCACGGAAAACCTGTTATGTGCGTTCGTTTTCTAAGCGTGAGCATATTCTTCCTGTGAGTTGAGTGAGTGCCTAACCAAATGCCTGGCACCTACATTGCCGTTAGCTGCCATTTTGTGGTGACACACAGTGGACCTATGGGGAGGGCTGCCTGGCAGGACCGGGTCCTCCCCCCCCGCCCCCCCCCCC